AGGGGAAAGGAAGAAAAATGAAAGAAGATGAAGCATAAAAGGATGAAAAATGGGAAAGTGAAATGGGTATGCACGGGTAGGCTATCAAAAATCAAAGGATTTTATGTAAAACTTCCTAACTGGTACCTCAATTGTTAATAGGCTACAACTTAATACCCAAGCTTGATCTTTTTCTCTCACTCAAATAAGTCCACTTATAATCTCATTCTACCCCAACTGGGTTTGGTTCAACTCGACTCAACTCGACTACTCAACTCTATGCTAAGACTCGACTCGGAGTAGGACGTCACAAGCTCATAAACATTAAGAACATTAAAAAGAACACAAAATATTCTTTTTAGTCATGCACAACTGGACAAAGGAGTCGATCTACTTCAGCTACCCTGATACAATTCATATTTTGTGATTGATGATGAGGAAGAGGAGGCTGCAGTAGAGCAATTGAAGCTGGAAGATGAGTTTGGCTTGCAACTGCTTTAGATAGCTATAGAAGAAGATGTTGTGCTAAGAAATTAGGAAAATTGAGATAGATACCTAATTGTTGCTGCAATATTCAGGTCCTTATGATCATTTTGACCGTTAAGAGGGGTATATGTGAATGTTTATATGTGTTGCTTTTTATTTTCTTATTAATCTACTATGCTTTTGGACTTTCAAGTTAAAAAATTATAGGTGAATATTGCATTAAAACTACCAACTCAATCGGCAATTTCAGTGCAATAGAAAAAGTAACTCGTATTGAAAAACAGTTAGAAAAAAGTAATTAGATGAATAAATAATAATTTTTATTTGAACTAAGACATATAATTCATTTGGTTGTTTTAATGCAAATATGACATGTGAACCACTAGTCAGCAAAAAGTACATAAGAAAAAAAATATTTTATTAAGAATTCATCAGCTTACCTAATGGTTTCAATAAAAAAAAAAATTTCTCAAAGTATTTTTTCACCAAAATATGCATATTATCTAGTGGGTTTGGTACAATCCATTTGCATTAACATTGCTAAGTCAATATATTGGTACAAACTATATTGAATTTATTTGGAGAATCCATAATAAATACAAGACTTGTGTCATGGAATGTGATGAATTGAAATGTGGTGCAAGGAATTGATTCCCTTATATATCTAGCATAGTCTTCCACGTACAACACTCGACTCACTCATATTCATTTTCTCTTATTTAAGAGGAAAACACTTCACGATAACAAACCACTCACTTTGAACCTGCATTGCCAATTTACTAAATATAATGACACTCATTCAAACATAGAAAATTTGAGACACATATCACACAAAGGAGGAAGGAACATCATAAAATTAGAAGGTGTTAGTAAAAGTAAATATTTTAGTAAATAATTTTTTTTGTTTTAGATTTTTTTAGTTGAAGTGAATTTTTTAATTTGATTTCTAGATATAAATATTTATAATAATTAGAAGTAAATAATGCGTTGTTAATGTTTTTTTTTTTTTTTTCAAATTTTATGTTTTTTTTTTTTTTTTTGCACATTTTTTTTTTTTTTGCACGAGAGATTGGTGTTTGGCTTTTAATTTTTTTCATTCTAAAAGGGTTTATTACTATATATAAATATAAATAATATATATAAATATAAATAAATTTTAAATTTCATAATAAATTAAAACATGAAATTTTTATAAATGAATAAAGTTCGTAAATATTTATTTTGTGGAGTAAAAATGAATATTTGTATAATATAGATAATTGCTATTTTCAAATAATATATATTTCTAGTTTATGTATAATATTTTTAATATTATATTTCTAGAATAAGTATTCAAGTAGATGTTGTGAATATTCCTAGTATGTTTTTAGTATATTTCTCAAATATATTTCTGTGTGGATTTCAATTAATCTAAAATATCAGATAATGGATAAACCAATTAATGAAAACATCCTGAGTTATGAAAATGAAAATGAGAATAAACAAATGAAAACGAAAATAGTTATGAAAACATTTTACAAGAACAAATTATTTGGGCCTTTTTGAATCGTCCGAGACAGTAAAATAAAAGATTAGATGATAATTAATCGATCGGTACCTGCCTCAAGAACTAGATTTAGCCAAAAGACGACACACGCCGAAAAGAAAAGTGGCGACTGCAGAAAGTTTGAGGTTTCGATTCGTCGCCGTGCTCGATCAATATAAAAAGCTAACTACAGATTCTTGATCGGCGTTGAGAAGAGAGTTGTTTGGAGTCTTGAACCGGTCGAGAATCGGTTATATATGTTAAGAGGGATTAGAGCTGTAATATTACGTTTATTGTATATTCTACCTTTTTCCTCTTTAATTTTGTTTCATCCCTCATCAAGATTTTTCTAAATAATTTTTATTTTATCCCATTAGTTTTCATTCTACATTTTAACTCATCCACACTTTGATTTTTTAAAATTTCAATTTATTTTCCCTTTAAAACATCGATTTCTCATTTCTTGTTATCATTAAAATTGAAAATAAATTATATTGATGTGTTGTACTCCTAATGTTTATATTATTTTAGTCTTCTATTATTAAATATTAGTTGCATTCCTCGTAATAATTATTCTTTTGATTTTCCTTTAGTTTCATATTTTATTTCCAAATAAAGATAAAGAGTAAGAGTTATAATTTTGAATTTCAAAATCAAAATTTCATTACAGTAGAATTTACATATTTATATTGTGGTCTAGATTAAGTGAATGAGAATATTTGAATTAATGATATTTATAATGTTTTTTTTTTTTTTTTAAAGTACAACTTTTTAAAATTTGTGTTTATTAATAAGCATAATAATAAATATTTTATAATTAATTTTCTTTAAAAATTATTATCTTATAAAATATTAAATATTTATTTTGTTTTTTTTTTTTTTTTGAACAAAAGTACAACTTTTAAAATTTTGTGTTTATAATTAAGCATAATAATAAATATTTTTATAATTAATTTCTTAAAATTATATTCTTATAAAATATTAATTTTACATGAAAATATTAAATTATAATTTAACACCTTTTGATTTACATTATTATTTAGATTTTTGATTTTTAAGGTGGATTTGCTTAAACTCAATTTATAAACCTATCTATGGATAAATCAGTGAAATGATTTTTTTTATTAAAACGAAAATAATCTTGATCATTTATTAGAGAAAACAAAAGGATAAAACTAAAAAAGAAAGGGTTAGCTTGCGCTTAACATAACAATAATGAGTGAAATGTTATAAAATAAGTAGATTCCTATATGGGCTAAAAGTCTGTATTTTTAATTATTGCGAACTATATCTTTAATTTTATTAGGATTGCACTTATGTAACTATTTAATATCTATATTTCATCCATACAACACATGTCCATCTATTAAACTTATTATTATTGTTATTGTTATTATTATTATTGTTATTGTTATTATTATTATTAGCTATATTTCATCCATACAACACATGTCCAATCGGATTTTGCTCAATTCCCTAAAGTGAATGAGATAACATATATATGGTATTACGATGTTTACCCAACTAGATCTTACGCACTCCCTGAAGTGAATGCAAAATATATTATATTAGGCGTGAATAATGACTAAGATATACTTGTCATTGAGAATATTAATTCTTTTTATCAACAAATATAAATTTATTTTATTAATTAAACATATCGAAGAAAAACTTAGCAAAATCAAGAAATTATACCCGAGCCAATAAACACTCAAATACACCCAATCCTACTTGAAAATGCTAAGTGAAAAAACCTAGAGAACCTAAAAAACAAAATACAAATTTCTCTTGAGATAAGGAAAAATGAAATTAAATCCAAAATTAGATCAAATCAAAGTATCCATGAAAATCAAAAACTAATTATGATCCAATCCTCATATATCCAAATTGAAGAACCTTTGCTCTGTCGTTTGATCAAAGCCACCTAACTGAAAGAAAATTATAACCGAGCCAAAAAACGTAATGCAGAAGTGGTACAAAATTGATAAGACCAAAGTTGAAGTAATGATCTTAGCAATTAGTGTGCTCACATAATTAAAACTAAAATTTACAAGTGGTACAAATAATGTTGAATATATGGATTTTGATTATGTACTTATTATATACTAAAATATTGAAAGGTAAATTTGACTTTGGTAGTAGAAAAATATTTAAAAGCTCCAGAAAAGCAAATATTACTATTTAAAGAAATAAATTTTATGCATAATGCATTATTCCAAAGCTATTCATTAAAATTGATATCATAAAGAGATAATAATTGTCAATCAAGTGTGGTTTGATTGGTCTTTCTATCTCTCATAGAAAATATAAAAAGTGAAAGACCTCGAGTTCAAGTCATTTTAACTATAAATCTTCTCGACCATAAAAATTATGGTCAATTTAACGAATGTTATTTAAAGGAAGTTGTTATATTTGAAATTATACAGAGAAGTAATAGTAATTTTCCCTTCACGGATCGAGTTGTACGGTACCTGACCTAGTACAAAATAGAACTTTCAATTAAAAAGTTGACTCTCCTTCCAAAAAGGGCAGAAAAAAAAAATTAAAAAGTTGATTTCAATTGGACCAGCACCACCCACAAACATTTTCAAACATTTAACTTGACCCTACCTTATTTTAAACCTTATTAAAATGGAACATTTAGTTATTCACAAAAGGATAATTTTGAATTTAATAAAAAATTTCTGTAAAATTAAGATTTTGATACCTAAAAGATAGTAGCCATGAATTTTAAAACGAAAATAATACGTAAAATAGGAGTTCATTTCATTCAAATCAAACTATAATTGATATCAATTTAATATACCAAAATTTTCCAAATGAAAAACGAACTGAATGTTTAGTTAAATCAATTCAATTTTACTTATTAATTTTCAAAATTCTTTTATTCAAAATTGAACCAAACCAAATAAAAAATTTTCAAGTTTCACTCTAATTGAAATCAAACCGAATAATATTACAAGCCAGATCGAATTTGTTTTTTTAAACTACAAGTCAAATCCAACTAGTTGAATTCAAAAGGGAACTAAATCTAACTCTGCTCAGTCGTAGGCCCCACCTTAAGTACAGGTGTGGTGTGCCCCACCTTTTGGACACCACATAAAGCCATCATCACCTCCCTAATATATATGAGCGGCCCCACCTACCCTTGTAGGTCCTACCTTTCGAAACCTGCACAATTCTCACATACGCCATTCATTGTATGTTCTCCTCTCTTCTCCATTTTCTTTTGTTTTCTCAAGAAACGAAAAATGGCAGGAGACTATAGCTCTGCAATTTCTCTCTCTAGAGACCTTTCTCATACCTCCGATGACTCTTCCTCCGATCACAGCCCCCGGAGCGTGCCTACACTCGCCACACCGTCATCCTCTTCCAAACCTCGAACCACCACACACAACCTCCACTCGCCGGTGGAGATTCAAAGAAAGCCAAGAGGCAGGCCTCCCGGTTCCAAAAACAGACCTAAACCACCCATTATCATAACCAAAGACAGTGACGCCGCCATGAAACCTGCTATTCTGGAGATCTCCGCTGGTTCTGATATAATCGAGACTATAGTCAACTTTGCACGTAGAAACCATGCCAGTATTAGTGTAATCAGTGCAACTGGCTCTGTTTCTGATGTCACGCTCCGCCATCCAATTTCTCACGCGCCATCTCTTTCTTTTCATGGACCCTTTAATTTACTTGCACTAACAGGCTCGTTTGTTGGCACTTTTGCACTACCAACCAAGCCATGCTCTTCTTCTTTTGGAATATCTCTTGCAGGAGCTCAAGGTCAGGTTTTTGGAGGAATAGTTGCTGGAAAAGTTCTGGCAGCGAGTCAGGTGGTGGTGGTAGCAGCAACTTTCTTGAATCCTACGTATCACAGGCTACCAAGTGGTGGCGTTGGTGGTGAAAACGAAGGCGGTGAAGAGACAAAACCTAATGCTGGTGGTGGCCCTGTAAATGAGATATCTTCATGTACGGGCATGTCCATGTGTGTTTATGGTATGACGAATCCAACTCCAGTAAATTGCCAGATGTCACCTGATGTTATGCACTGGGCCTCCCCTCCTTCTCGCCCTTCTTCTCATTACTAGCTAAGAATCAGTTGGGTTTAGTATACAGTTACATGCAGAAACTTGGTTTAGTTAGAGTTGGAGAAGCCTCTGCCTCCTTCCTTCCTTCGACCCTCCCTCTAGTAGTTTCTTTGGCTTTACTTAACATTGTCTAGTAGTTATTTTGTGGTTCTAATGATATACAAGAAACTTATTTTATCTTTTGAAACCTTCGTATATAACCTTTATTGTTGTGTTTTATCTTCTCTTATTCTACCTTAACAATAATTTTGTTCTATGTTAAGAAAAGAAAATTATACTTCCTCTCTCCCACGTTGGCTCTGTCCTATTTTGCTTTTGCTTTTTTACTAGGTTTCGAAAATATTTTTGCTTTTCTTTGTTCTATGTTAGGAAAAGAAAATGTTTACAAGGTTTTGAAAATTATTTTTTTCATATCTTAACGGTTTAAGGATAGAAATAAACTAAAAAAAATTTATTGACTAAATTTTAAACTTAAAAATATTTATTGACTAAATTTTTAATAAGTATTTTATCAAATTATGTAAAAAAAAAAAAGGAAAGAAGTAATTTAGAATGTTTTTTTTTTAATTTGAAGTGAAATAAAAAATAATTTATTAATAAAATTATTTTCTGAATATGTAAGCCTGGATTTGTTTGGGTTGAAATTTCAAAGGGGAAGAAAAGAGAAGGTGAATGAATGTTTAGAGTAGTTATGTAGTAGCTGTGACAAACTGATGTCAATGTCAGGTGTCTTAAGTCTAAACTCTCTCGGGAACTGTTTATTTTTCCTTCTCCAATGCAAAAGCTCCTGTAACTGTAAGCTGTAAGTCATCCCTTAACTGAACAAACAAATTCTATCCAATTCGAAACCTTTTTAACATTTGGTTCCGTTCAAGATTAGGGCAGACAACATCTCATAAAATTAACTAAATGAATTTAAGTGAGGTCAATTGACCCACTCATTTTTTTTTTAAAAAAAGTATACATTAAGTGAAAAATTTTAGAGTTTTTAATATATTTGACCTCACTAAAAATCAAATTAAATAAATGGTCCCACTAAAAATTATTTTTAGCTCCCTCACTAGATATGAGGAGGGACTCATTCTTGTCTCTTTTGATGGCCCCTCCCTCATATTTTTAGTTTTATTGAAAATTTTTTTATGTTTTTTTATTAAATAAATTACATATCTATGTTTATTTGACATAGATCTATTTTATTTATGTTTTTGCTATTTTTTGTGTTTTATCTTCATATTGTGTTGAGTTTATGATTTCTCCATTTTATATGGAATATTTTATTTTTTACATTTGTTTTGTTTTATTTGGACATGTGTGCAATTTATGAAGAATTTTTTAATTACATGATGATCTTTGTCTTTTGGAGCTAGTAGTGTGGCCTTTCCTCTTTTGGATTTAGGTTTCAAATCCTTTATATTCTTTGTAAATAATTATTTCATGGATAATTAGGTCATGTATAGAAGATTTAGAGAGTTTATTTAATCAGTCACTTTTAAATATCTATTAGTTATTTTAAGTTCACTTTCTAATTTTCACTAAGATTAATTTATTATCAGATTAAAATTATAATAATTTAAATTCTATATTTAGTCTTTAGAAGAGGGATAATGTCCTCTCTGTATTATTTGTATTTGATTCGAAATTTATAACAAAATGCTGTTATATTATATTAAAAAAAAAAAAAAAAAACCTCTCTGTATTATTTGTATTTGATTCGAAATAGTACCTTATAACAAAAAATTGCTGTTATATTACATATTTTCTAAAAAAAAAATAAAAAAAGGGCTCCAACTCAAGCTAAAAAAAAAAAAAAAAAGGCTCACAAGCGTTAGAAAATAAAATAGCTGCCAAAAAGGACCGAGAGTTTGTTTGCCAATTGACTAGACAAACACTTCTATTCAAATGCAGCTGCTCAATCTTGTATGATTAACCATGTCCTATAATACAGTTGAATTAAACTCAAAAGTCAAAACTAATGTCAACTTGATTGCTTCCTTAAGGGCCTTGTTTCTCCCCAAAATACAGCAATTTGTTTTAGACTTTTAGTAAAAGGGGACCAGTACTGTACTGCTGTTAATTAGGAGTAGTCACGGTACCGAGACTGTCGGTTCCAATTTTAAAATTAACGATTTTGGTTCCAAAATCAATGATTTCGGTTTTAATTTGGAACTAGTTGGTTACGGTTCCTTAACGGTTCTAAAAGGTTCTCTGACTAGATTTTCAGATGGTTTACATAATTTTAAAATTGAAAAATCTAACTTACACAAATATCCTTAACATAACTAGATGTTATATACCCATTTACAATTTTTAAGAGGGTTAATTTGGAGATTTGGATAAAAATTTAGAAAAAGTAAAAAAAAATTTTGTTGGCACCGTTTGAAACCGCTATTTCTAACCAGTAGTCAAACCTTCAGTTCTGGCCAGTTCTCAGAACCGATAGTTCACAATTCTAAAAAATTAAGAACTAGAATCGAACTACAATCTCCCGATTACAATTCCAATTTTGGTCGGCTTGGGTCTTGCACAGTTTTAGTTTTGATTCCAACTGATTTCAAGTTGACGGTTCCGATTCCAAAAATTGGAATTTGCCACCCCTACTCTTTAATAAGGAGAGGATTTGAATTTAGGGAGGGAATCAATATATATAATAATATTATATATATATATATATTATAATATATATATATATATAATAAAGTTATATAAAGTAAGCATTTTTTTCCCCTAGAAAGTTGACATGTGGCATATCCACTTGGCATTTTAATTTAACATGTGGCATATTCCTTTAATTAAGCTTCCACTCGACATGGTTTGATTTGATTATATAATGTATTGACATGATTTGATTTGGTTTGGTTTGGATTTATTTTGAATTAGTGTTTTTGGTTTAATTTGATTTGATTATTCAATGTATTACTGTATTGGTTTAGTTTAGATTTAGTATTTTTTATTTGATTTTTTAATGTATTAATATATTGGTTTGGTTTAGATTTATTTTGAATTAGTGTTTTTTGGTTTGGTTTGATTTGATTATTTAATGTATTAATGGTTTAAGTAATTATTATTAATTATTAGTTTTTAAAAAATGATAAAGTTTAATAACAATGAAGTATTTAATTAATGTATTGCTTTGTAACAAATGTTTACTCTCAAATTTATGAAGTAATAAACGTTTTCTCTAACAATCGTTAATGTATCTTTAACGTTTCTTATTTAAACATTTTCGTTTTTTTTTAAATGGTGTAGTAATGCACTTTTTAAAATTTTAAATTATTTACCCTCAAGAAACACTTTATCTTTTTTAGAAATACTATACATAAGTTGTATCACTATATTCTTTTGTATTCTTCGCAAAGTTGTATTGATCTATGCTTTTAAATATATTATTCTTTTTTTTTAATGTTCATAATTTTCCACATTTCAATAATTTTCACTAATGGGGTTAGTAGTTCTTACTCAAAATTTTTTTTTATCTCTTTTTTAAAGATTATTTAACATGTTTATATATATATATTTAAAGATTATTTAACATGTTTTATATATATATATATATATTATATATATATATATATATAATAATATATAATATATATATATTATATAAGATAGTTAGAATTTTCTTGGGTGTTGCTACTTATAATTCTAAATTAAAATGGACATGTATATGACTTAATGTTTATTTATTACTATTTAGTTTAAAAATAATTATATTTATTTAAAAATAAATTAATTTATGATTGAATTAAACTATCTTAAATGTAATTGCTTAATATAACGTTACAAAATTAATAGTGTGTTAAGTAACGATTTATATAATTTGTAATGATATAAAAAAATTACATGATTTATAAATTTTAATGATATGGACATTTATTATTTTATATTAAAAAAATTAAAATTTATATTAAATTAAATTATATTAAATATAATTGATTAATTATAGTGTTAAAAATATGATAAGTTGAAGATTTATAAAACTTTTAGTTATTTAAAATAAATTATTTATTCATAGATTTTAATGAAATAACAAGCTAATTATTTTAATTTTACATTAATTTTAAAATAAAATAAATTAATGAATTTTACCATCTCTCATTTTACTTTTTTTTATTTATCTCTATAAATTTTAATATTTTTAATCCATATTCCAGAACACATGTCTATCTACTAATTTTTACTTTAATAATAAAAAATCACGCTACATTTTTTTTACTATTGATATATTTTTATAATATTTTTTAATAGCATAACAAAGGAAATTTTATTCAAAAATCTATAAATTATGTATATATATCTCAATTTTACATTATTTTATTTTTTTTTAACGGTGTATTACGGGTAAATTGCTAGCAACAATACAAAGCGGAGCAACAGCTTGGTTAATGGCTGGACTTGCTGTGATATGTGATATTCAATGTTCATAAACAAATTAATGAAATCTTTAAACTTAACAAAGACAATCTTTTTGTAATTGAATATTTGTACGGTTAATAAATTTTTTACTTTTTACATTTTCCTAATAATTTATTTAGTTAATAAAATTCATAAAGATTAATTATAATTTATTTGAAATTGATTAAATTATTTGTATTTATTTACAAAGTTGATGATTTCTTTTATATAATTGTTTAAAAATATAAAAAAATTCCTAAAAAGTCCCATTATTTTCTTTTCAAAAAAAAAAAAAAAAAAAATCCTTTTGCATAAAAAAAAAAAAAAAATAAACACTTGAAAAGTAAGTAGTTGTGTCAAAAAACGATGACCTTTAGAAACTAGAAGTTGTTCACAAAAAAAAAAAAAAAAAAAACACTAAAAGTAGTAGTTGTGTCAAAACGATGACTAGAACTAGAAGTTCACCAACTATGTACCTGTTCAATAAAATTAATTGTTTTAAAGGTTGTTAGCTTATTTTAATAGCATTTATCTGTTTATGTAACTAATAGCCATTTGACTAGTTTTTTATAAAACACTAAAAGTTTAACGTTATAGGGATTTATCTTCTTATAAAATGGTATCTTAATCTCTAAAAATTAGTTTAAATAATATATTACCAAACACTATAAACAATTCCATTTAACATTTTGACCAGTTAAAACACTAAAAGTTATTTAAAAAGTTGTATCGATCAGAATACATCGGAACTAGTGGTTCATCGAAGGACAGTGTAGATTCAAGCTTTGGAAAATCTTAAACCAGCCATGCCTAGAGATGTTT